CTTTCCAGATGATTCATTAATTTTTTTGGCTGTTTTATAACCATTCAAACATACACTCAAACATTTGCCAATTTATTTATTCATCATTAATTCATTTAGACTGGGCGGTGAGATAGCGATGTGGAAGCAGAAATTTGAAAGCGGAGAAGGAAACGTGAAGCCGGAGGAAGTTGAAGAACTGAAGAAAAAATTGACCGCAAGGTTAGACAAATAAAAGAATGAATGAATGAACGAACGAACGAACGAACGAATGAATGAATGAATGAACGAATGAATGAATGAATGATATTACAGAATTTTGGATAGCGAAGCACAGTTAGAAGCAGTCGTATCAAAGGCAGTCAGTCTCGAAAAAGTAAAAAGTCGTCTGTCGTTTGAGAATCAAACTATGCAAGCAGATATTGAAAAGGTTGGTCAATCAATCAATCAATTATTCAATTAATCAATCAATTATTCAATTAATCAATCAATCAATCAAAAAGCTTCAAGCAATCAATGCCCAAAATGAGAAACGCCAGAGACAATTTGACAAAATGATGGATGAATGGAAGAAGAAAGTAACTGAACAACAGGCTGAGATTGAAGCCTTTCAAAAAGAAGCACGAAACAGGTTGATTGATTGATTGGCTGATTGATTAATTGGTTGATTAGTTTATTAATTGATTGATTTGTTAGGTAGTTAGTTGATTGATTAGTTAATTGGTTGATTGATTGATTGATTCGCGGGTCGATTCGTTTGTATTATGATTGATTGAATGTTTATAGTTTAATAACTTGCCTTTTTCATTAAAGATTGATTGAAAGGACTGCTTGCTGGTTGATTGAATGGTTAATTAGTTAATTGGCCGAATGATTGATTGATGAATTTTAATTGATCTTCAAATGTTCGAGTGAATGATTGAAATAAAAGAAAATAATTTTAATAAGCGCGGCCGAAGCGTATAAAGTAAAAAGTCAGCTGGAAGAAGCCCAAGAAACTTTGGAGACTTTGAAGAGGGAGAATAAAAACCTCTCAGGTAGGTTGCTACCGCTACCACTACTACTACTACTACTACTACTACTACTACTACTACTACTACTACTACTACTACAGCTATCACTATTTCGACAGTAATTAAATGTGAAAACGTACATGTTAACTTATTATCATTGGTCGATTACAACTTGAAATACTACTAACACTACTACTGCCATTGCTACAGTCGTTATTGCACTACGACTGCTGCTACTACGGATAATAATAATAATTATATTTTTATTTATAATTATGACAATAATAATAATAATAATATAATAATACCAAACAAACAGAGGAGATATACGAGCTGACGGATCAGATCGGACAAGCGAACCACCGATTTTCAGAACTGGAGAAGCTGTCAAAGAGGATCGAAGCCGAGAGGGACGAGTTGCACGCCACTCTGGAAGAGGTTTGTGACGTCATTTCTACGTCATTTCTACGCCATCATTACGTCATCTGTTGTTTTATTAAAGCGTGGTTTTTATTTTTTTATTTCGTGATTGTGACTTCACTCTTGAGTGAAGTCATTTATAGGCAATTGATATATTACAGCCACACGATTTTTATATGATATTATTAAGTCATTATTACGTCATCGTGTAATCATAATTTTTTCAAATATCAAGGCGGAAAAGGCTCTGGAACGAGAGGAAGGTAAGTTGCAGCAGCAGTTGCAGGAGATTGCATCTCTAAAGGAGGAGACGAACAGAAGATTGGCGGAAAAGGAAGAAGAATTCGAAGTCGTTTGGTTAGTTTCGTTTCGTTTCCTACTGTTTCGTTTCGATATTAGTAGTTTTAGTAGTAGATGTTATTGTAGTAATAATATTTGTAGATATTGTTTTAAGTCCGTCGGCTGTTATTTGGAAGGTTGTTTGATTGTTCTCTGCATGCCTATCTTATAAGTCGTTATGAAATGTCTGAGAGTATTAGTTAATATTATTACATTCACTTTTACATTATTAACATTTAATTATAGTTTAAATCCAACGATAATTAATTGAAATCTAACAATAACTGAGACCAGTAAGAACCAGCAACGAGTCATAGACACCATCCAAGTAGACCTCGAGACAGAGGTTAGACACAAAATTGAGGCCTTAAAGGCAAAAAAAAAGTTGGAGCAGGTGCTCGCAGACTTGGAAGCGGCTCTCGAAGCTTCCAACAAGGCCAAAATGGAGGTGGATTCGTTGTTATTTTTATTATTTATTTCTATTTTCATTGTTGAATAAATGAATGAATCATGAATGAATAAATTATAATGGATGAACAAATTATGATAAATTATTGAACGATAATAAGGTGGAGAAGAACTTCAAGCGCTACCAGCAGCAGACGGGTGACCTGCAAAGATTGTTGGAGGAGGAACAAAGAAATAAAAATAATGCCGTCAAAGATGCTGCCCTGGCCGACAAAAGGGTTAACGGATATTTTTGATTTATTTCTTTACTCGTTGTTTATGGTGGCTCAGTGGTTAGAGCGCCAGGCCTGAATGTTGCAGTGACGGGGTTAGAATGCAAGAAGCTCCCTGCTGCCGCCTGTCATTTGTTACTTCAATACAACATGACCATTGAGAGTTATTTCACTAATTATCGCTCAGATCGGCCAGTTAAGTTCGGAATTAGAGGAATTGAAGGCCCAGTTGGAAATCGTTGAACGCAACAGAAGAATCCAGGACGGCGAATTACAGAAGATTACCGATTTGGCCAACGAACTTCAAGCAAATAATTCTTTGCTAAGTGCTGCAAAGAAGAAGCTAGAACTTGATTGGCAGACTGTTCAGGTTAGTGTTCATTCATTCGTTCGTTCGTTCATTCGTTCGATTGTTCATTCGTTTGATCGTTCGTTCGTTCGTTCACTTATTCGCAATTCATTTTTCATAAACAATCAAACACTCGACCCACCGTAGAGCGAGTTGGAAGACAGGAACAATGCGTTGAAATTAGTTGAGGAGCAGAGCAAGAAAGCCATTGCAGACGCGGCGAAAGTGGCGGACGAGTTGAGGCAGGAGCAGGAGCATTCTGGTCAGATCGAGAAGTTGAGGAGGGCTCTGGAGAATCAGGTCACTGAAGATTAGTGGGCTGATGCATAAGTGAACATTTTTCATTCTTTTCTTTCGCCAAGGCGTATCTTTAATTCAATCACATGCTACACATTTACTTAGCAATCAATCAATTAATGAGAAAAAATTGCCCAACCAATCAGGTAAAAGAACTGCAACGTCGTCTGGATGAGGCTGAGGCGAGCATCTTGCAGGGCGGGAAGAAGCAGATTCAGAATTTAGAGCAGAGGCTGTCCGACGCTGAACGTGAGTTCGAGAAGGAACAGCAGAAGAATGCAGAAACGCAGAAAGTTATTAGGAAACAGGAGAGGAGGTTAGGACGACGACAATTTTTAATAATAATTTCATTGTGAGAATGTTTATGGGTGATTGTGAGGCGTCTGTGAGCGGGCTCGCATACATTGGTCTGCGTGAAACATTACGAATATGGCGCTAAATAAATTAACAACAGTGACAATGATGATGATGATATTACTAAAGATTATAATAATAATAATAATAATAATAATAATAATAATAATAATAATAATAATAAACAGGATTCAAGAGTTGCACTTCCAACTGGAGGAGGCTCAGAAAGAGCACGAGAAGTCGAACAGCGTCATCGACAAGTTGCAAGCCAAAGTGCATGGCTACAAGAAGCAGGCACAAGAAGCCGTGAGATATGATGACGATGCTGTTGTGGTTGACGATGACGATGTTGTTGTGGTTGATGATGACGATGGCGATAGGGATGGTGATTGTGAAACTGATACCTACCGATCAATGATACAACAACACGCAGGAAGAAATAGCGGCTCTGAACGTAGCCAAATTTCGAAAACTTCAGCAAGAACTTGAAGAAAGTGAAGCCAGAGCCGAAATTGCCGAGTCAGTAGCCGGTCAATACCGGTCCAAAACCAGGACCTCAATAAACAGGGCCGAATCGGTACGTGTATTATGTACATTTATGTCATCAACATCGTCACCATCTCCATCATTACCATCATAGTCATCATCATTATTACCACCATCACAGCTTCAGCCAATGAGCGGCGTAACCATCAAGTCAACCACCACCCGTTATATCGAGAGCAGCAAAATGGATGGCCAATAAATAATAATAATAAATAATAATAATTATAAATAATAATAATTAAAATATACTAAATTATATATATATATATATATATACATGCATTTCGAAAATTATATTAATAATAAATAATAATAATTGTTATTATTATTACTACTGTCTTTTTTCATGTTAATTTTCTAGTTACCTTATTCAAATGTATGGTGAAATGAAATCAGTATATGTATGTATATATATATATATATATATATATATCTATATCTATACATATGTATATATATTTAGTTTCACATATGCCTTTATAACGATTTTATATACGTTGCCATATATATATATATATACATATATATATATATATATATATATATATATTTGTATATATATATATATATATATATCGTGAGTTAGCTTGGTTAATAAATTAAATAAAATTAACTTTCGTCTTTATTTTAAAGCAGAAATAAGCTATTTTTCTGGAAGCAAACGTTTAATGTGTAAATTTTATTTGTAAGTTTTACGTCGTTCTCTCTCTCTCTCTCTCTTTGTCTCTCTCTCTTTGTCTCTCTCTCTCTTTCTCCTCTCTCTCTCTCTCTCTTGAACAACCAATAATTAAATTTGAAAATCTACAAGCAATAAAAATAAAACGACATGAATAAAATCAACCAATGAAATAATTTGAACTCCACAACAACAACCAATAAAATTATTTACTCAAGTCTGTCAACCAATAATCAAACCGATCGCTTCATTCGGCCAATCAAAATCACTTCGACAGATCCCATAACTCAACTCCAGCAAACAGCCAACCAATCACAAAACCCCGTTTAAAAAATCGGCCAATCAAATTATTCCAAATTTATCGTATTAAAATCAGAGAAAGTGGAGAACCCGGACTTCGAGATGCTTCTCTTTGATTTCATCAGGTTCTTCAGTCTCGTTATCACCTTGTGAACGGACTGATGACGATGATGACGATATCAATCAATCATTCATTCATTCAATCATTCATTCATTCATTCATTCAATCATTCATTCATTCAATCCTTCATTCCTCCAGTCAGCCAATCGACAAACAAACAAACACGAAGAAAGACAGACGGACCTTATATTTTCTTATCCTATTGCTCTCAAGTTTGTAGTTCAAGCAGGTCTTAATATCAGTAAAATCTCTGTCGTTGTTTAGATCAATAAAAATTATATTATTTGCAATAGTCAATCAATCAATCAATCAATCAAGCAATCAATTAAACAAGCAATCAATCAACCAATCAACCAACCTTCCATTGTTTAAATCAACGAACGTTATGTTATCGTTCAGTTGTATGCCACGCAATAATTCCGTAGCACCGTCCTTTGTGTTAGGTATGTGCGAATGAACGAAAGAATGAAACAAATCATCAATGGATGAATGAAACAATGAACGAATGAGCAAGTAAATGAATAAACGAACGTGCGAATGAATGAACAAGTGACCAATCAAACAAACAAACGAACGAACGAAAAAACAAACAACTCATAAAAACCCACAATAGTAATATCAGGATTGCTTGAAAAATCCAACTCACTGACGCCTACATAATTCTCAATAGATTTTGAAAAAACCTCCAAAAATTCATCATTGAGTCCGTTAGCTGCCAATGACAATTTCCTCAAGGCTAAATTATCTGACAGGGCTCTGGCTAACATCGGCCCTATTTTGGACCCTATGTTATTCATAGAGAGTACCAGGCTGACGAGGTTTGTGTTGGTTAGTAGGCTGTAGAAAAGTGCAAGGCCCCCTTCCAACGAGATGTTGTTGTCTGATAAGTTTAGGAGAAAAAGTTGCGGGTCTGTGAGTAGGTACCTGGGCGTTTACGGTGGGATTTTGTGAAATATTTTGGAATTAGTGGTTGGTAGTGGGTGATTTAGATTTAGTGGGTAGTGGGTAGTCTTAGATTTGTAGACATGTTTATGATTAGTGATTAATTGAACATTTGTTTGTTTGTTTGTTTGAGAGATTTTTGGAATGCGTATTATTTACTTATTAAGATTTTGAAAGAAACTTTTTAGTAAATAATACATATTTTTTTTCTTCCACATCATCATCGTCGTCGTCATCATCAACATCATCATTATTATTTTCTTTTTAGAAATTTATTTGTACATAAACACAAACATAAGCAGAGGCACATACAGACATACAAACAAGCATACAAACACAGACAATCGCATACTTGGCCAAAAATCTCGCCCCATCATCTCCGATGTTGTTGTAGGCCAGTGATAACTCCATCAAATTCTTAGCGTGAGGCAGATTCGCCGTAAGTAACTGCAACTTGACGTCATCCAGTCTGCTGTGGTTGATTGACAGGATTTTCAAAAGTGGGGTGTTAATTATGAATTTGCAGAGTGAAAGGCAGTCCCATTTCGTGCAGTACATCATGTCCCACTCGAAATTCAAACCGCAGTTCTCTACCCGGTACATTATTTCTAGTTCCTTCGTTATGTTTTAAAGGTATTTATGCGTAAATTATGATAAGCCCACTTCTAAATATAGAAAAAAAATCCACTTCTAAATTAGAAAAGTAAGGAAAACTTACTTCTAAATTAGGAAAATACTGCCCCATAACTCCAAGATTCAGGTGTCCGTTGGGAGTTTCTTTGGAGGTGATGTCATCGAAGTTTATCGATTCCCGCTTGAAATCTTTGGGAAGTTCCACTGGTATTAATAATTGATGAAGGCAGAGTCTTTTGACGAAACTGAAAAAAAAATGAAACGAGTTTTAAAAAAATCATAGTAATTATTTTGATTGTATTTGAATGTAACCCATGTGCAACTTATATAACTCCAACCCCATACAAAATTCAAACATTAATTAATTTTTATATGATCCTAATTTCAACAACCATTCAATCAATAAATAAACGACCAAAGAAACTAGACAACCAACCAATCGACAAACAGACCAAAAATCCAACCAACCAATCAGCAGAAAAATAAACTAACCTACCACCCAATGAGCAAAATTTGATCAAATTTTTAAAATCATGATTTAGAGGCACAAAGCTGGTAATCTTATTCTTCAAGAAGTGCTCGAAAAAAATTCTTTTGTGGTTATTTTCGTAGTCATTCAAGTCGAGATGTTTCAGTTCAGCTCCTATTAACTGTTCGCTTCTGTATAAATTTGTGTGTGTGTGTGTTGTATATGCATGTGTCTGTGTGTTATGTGTGTGAGCGTATGTTCCTCTCTGTTCTTGCGTATGCATTTGTATGTGATCATTATTACATGCTATAAATAATTATAATAATATTATTATCATAATTATATTACTTCCTTTCCCAATATCGGTCGCTTGTGATTCTATGTGTGACGATGGAAAGTGGAAGGTCTAAGCTCAACCTCTCAACGACGTAATTTCTATCTTCAGCTGATAAGCTCTCTAAATCTATCGGCTCTCCTGATTAAGAAGGTTAGGGAAGGTTTGGGGTAGAGGTAAGCGGGAATTGAAATTTGTTCCAAAACCCACCCAATTTTTTTGTCATTCCCGCTTCTCTCCCGATTTTCCATTTATAACAATTTCCCGAAAATAATTTCCATTCCCTATTCATCTCAACTCACTCCCGCGTTTTCCCTCCCATCCCCTCCCGTTTCCCATTTTCCCCACAGAGTTATATAGAGTTGTTACTATTCTGCTACTACTTCTGCTACTACTGATAATGACAAACAACAATAACAGCAACAACAACAACACTAATGATAATAATAATAACAACAAAAACAAAAGACAACTTTCGAATGAGTTGACGATGACGTCAAGAGCCTTGTTACAGAACGGTTGAACGTAAATTAAGTTGTATTTGAGGTCTTCTGCAATTGTACGTCTGGTCCTTATCGAAGTTTTGTGGATTAGGAGATTTGTAAGTTTCTCAAACTCTTCGTTTGCCTCTTCAACGTCTTCACTACTAGCTGCACTGTCATCCTGGGGTATTTTTTTAACTTTTACGAAGTAATTCGATTGAATTTTGCTGTTTAGACAAAGTTTACTTAACAATTATTGTACATTTGTATGTGAAACATGTTTTTTGGAATAAAATAAAATAGTTTATTAGGATTATTTCAACTATCTTGGTGACTAAAGTTCATCTTATATTTTTAAGATACGATGAATTAATGTTTAATTAAACTGTTAATAAAATCACGGGTCAAATATAAACTTTTATTTCCTCTTCTTCGTCTTCCTCCTCATCATTATCGGCCATTTCTTCTTCGTCATTATCATCTAAAGCATCTATGGACCTGTTCAGCTTTCTGTCCATGATCCACTAATAATCTAATTTCTTAATTTCTAATCTGAAATTGAATTTAGAGATAATTCAATCAAATTAGTGAACAATTTCAAGAGAGAACTACTTTGAGGAATAAAATAATCAATTAGAAATTTTAAAAAATATCAGCTGAGATCAGTTTAAACAGCTGTTTTATATTTACATAGCCAACTGTTTTCAAATCTAAAGGGCGAAAAACGCGTATTCGAAAGATATACTTTGTTCAAATTCATTGCAAATATTATTTAGATGTAATAATATTTGATAAATTTGTTTAATTATAAAATTAAAATCTACCAATGATTCAGGTAAGAGTAAGTTTTTCAACTTATAACAGTACTTAGTAAAATTTTAAACTTAAATTAACTTTTAAAATATTTGTTTGTATAAATTTATTAACTTAAATTAACTTTTAACACATTTGCCCGTCAAATTTAATCCTCGTCATTGACTATTCCTTAAATTTTGTTCATAAAATTCTCAAGAATGGCTTCTAAAAAATTAAAATATAAATTATTTAACGATTAATTTAATTTAAATTTGCATCATTAATCACAATTTATAAAAATTTATCAATCTATGAGATGTCTTCCACGAAATCTACTTCTTCTTGGATGTCATGGACAACTGATGATTTAGTGATGCGACGTTTCCAAGTTTTACCTGAATTGTTGGTTCGTTTGAGCTGCATTTTACTATTGTTATTTAGATTGTTTAGAAGGTGGTTTTTAACAGTGAGCCATTTATTTTAAGCACTATTCACTTTTATTACGTTTTTAATTAAGACAAAAAAAATGTTATTTGAGACTAGAAAAAGCCCCAAAAATATGGAATGCTGACAGACACACACTAACAAAAAATGAATAAAAATTAATTTTGAATAAAAAAATTAATTTTATATTTTCACTATTAAAAACAGACTGCAATCACATTGAGAAGCCAACCAATCAGTAATTTTATTTAGATTTGTTTTTTTAAATATCCAAAAAAATTATTTGAATAATTCATGAAATAAATATTTTTTTTAATATTTCAATTAATACATCTTTATAAATAAATTTTAGCATTTTTATCTCATTAAATTCAATTTTTTCAGAGGCTATAGAAATATTATTTGAGAAATTATTGCCCTGCATAGAAATTTCATCCTTAGAAACTTTAATCTTTTTTTCATTTTCTAATGAAGTTAGTGAAATATTCCTTCTTTTGTTATTATTTTTATTATTAATATTTTTTATTATTATTACTATTTTTTAGATAGTTGGCTACCTTCAAAGCTTGTTCATTAGTTTGAAAGGCAAAATTTTCAAATCAAAAAATGATGAGGAGGAAGAGGATGATGGTCACAGTAAAGGTCGCGGTGATGCTGTTGGCGATGCAGTTGAAATAGCTAAAAAGATATTAAAAGTAACTTTCATTATTATTACTTTTATTATTTTATTTTTATTGTTGAATTAAATCTAATAATGACAATAATGATAATATTAATAATTTATTAGTACAAATTTCACCCTAACCAGAACTGCTTGGATGTAATTTCCAGCATAAAAGTTTGCCTGGATTACTTGATAGCTAAAGATAAGAAAATAAAATTCATCTATATTAGATCTTTGCTCAGCTGTGTTCTCAACGTCATTCAATCCTCTTACATTCATTGTAAAGTTAGTGCTGATTGGAGGATTTTCAGTAGGGATGTGCTGGATTTAATTAATTCAGGGATGTACTAATTTGAAGGCTGATGAGTTGTGGCTAGAAGATTTGTAGAAATGGAAATTTCTACTACTGATGGAAATAGTTTAGATATGTATTGATTTTATGGGCTTACTATTGGTAAGATTAGTGTGCTGGGGGATTTTTAGAGATGTGCTGCTTTTAAGATTATTGTAGTGGGGCATTCTTAATTTACGAGCTGCTTTTTGATTAACTTTTAAAATTATTCCTTCGCACAGGAAAGCAGAGGAATATATGGAGATTGCATGGAACTTGTATCAAATGAATTGTCTACATTATTTAAAAGTACATATGCCATTCAAAGTGTGAGTTGATTGGTTGGTTGCTCGATTGAATAATTGGATGAATGAATGAAAGAACGAGTGAATGAATGAAAGAACGAGTGAATGAATGAGTGAGAGGCTGGTGAATGAATAAATTAATGAATATATGTTTGAATAAATGAGAAATTATTGATTGATTGATTGTCAATTGACTTTTTTGCTCTCTTTTTTTCATTAACTTATTCTCTCATTTACACTTTTGTTCATTCATTCATTCATTTATTCCTTCGTGTATTCATTCATTGACTCATTATTGCAGAGTTTATTGAAATTATTGGAAAAGATTGAGACACAGATGACGAACGAGAATAAAGAAAATAATAATGATGATGTTGATGATGACGACGACGATGATGATGTGGAAGAAAAAGAATATGTATTATTTACTATGGGTAATTTTTATCATGATTATTTTATCATTATTAGTAGTAGTAGTAGTAGTAATAGTAGTAGTAGTAGTAGTAGTAGTAGTAGTAGTGGTAGTAGTAGTAAAAGTTGTCATAGTACTTGTATTATAAAGTGAAATGTAATTCGGTTTCAATTGTTTCCATTGTATCGACGAGGAGTGTCTTTCGGTTCCACGTGTCGTAGTCGGGTCGAAAATATTTCCTTTGCATTTCTTAATCCATTAACCTTCAGTCGAGTTGAAGTTCGTCTGTCCGAAATAAAAAATTCATTGAAATTGAAAACGAATTGAAAAGACGTCGTTCAATGTAATTCAATAAGCACAAAATTATGCAACCACAAAGCTAGTAACCAGTACATAATAATAATAATAACAATAATGTAACCAGTACATAATAATAATAATAACAATAATATGATTATTATTATTATTTAGCTATAAATGAACTTGCTCGTGTTTGCGGCATTGTATCGAGTCTAGATCGAAATGCTACCGTAAATCTCTGGAAGTTTATCGTCAGGTTATTATTATTTGTACTATTATTGCTTATTAATATTAATGTTTATTATGATGATGTGGTGATGATGAAAAGCATCATATTCAGCAATCATCGAGGCTGATGGCGCGATAACGATGATGATAACAATAATAGCACTTTTATTACGACGGCAATAATATTGAACAGCGTTTCTTGCTCAGAAAAGCACTCTTACAAGCTGACAGCCCTTAGATTTGGTTACATTGTAAATGTTCTCTGCAATGATATCAAGAGTTTCGCCCGTGAAGTCGCTTCCACTGATAAAGTTAGTGAAAATATGATGACGTCATTATCAACATCATCATTAATATTATCATCAACAACTTAAACGTCATCGTAATTTACAATCGTCTTCTCGTTCTCACTCCCTCACTCTTGTTAAACAATCTAATGCTAAATCTGCGTTTGCTTTTTTGGCCTTTCTCTTTGGAAGTCTCTCTCTCTCTCTCTCTCTCTCTCTCTCTCTCTCTCTCTCTCTCTCTCTCTCTCTCTCTCTCTCTCTCTCTCTCTCTCTCTCTCTCTCTCTCTCTCTCACTCTTCTCTC